GAGAACATGACGACACCAGTAATTGAACCAAGGTCTCAAGGACTTCGAAGGCGACGTTCCTACCGGTGACTGCACCTTTCCGGAGAAGTTCAACACCTGCGACCTGCGTGCTGGTGCGAGAGGAGAAAGCAGAGCTCGCAGACACCTTCTGAAGTGGACGGAGGGGTCGTCCCCCTCCTCGTTCCTTCACGTGCTCTGATACACTTGACGATGGCTGTAGACATGATCAGGCGTGTACAGGGATGACTGAGTTTGCATAATCCTGAACCAAATAACGGACCCCCGCCCTTATAACTAGAAAGAAATGAGTGGTGGCCTAGTTTTTTTTTTTAATATGTAAGTATGAAAATGGTAGGGGATGACGTGGGGACCGTTTGTCATAGCTATTCTTCTAAAAATATATCCTTTAGCTTTTTTGTTTATAAGAAGCAGGTTAGCTTTTGCCATCACTGGGGCATCTGTGCTGACCTCCTGGTGCCCCCTGGAGTGGGAAGGGGCCGTGGCATGAAGCTACACGTCTGCAATAAAAGAACCGACGAGAGGGGAAAGAAGACGTGCGTCTTTTAACTGATAACAGTGTAATTAATAGTTCCTCCAAATCACCTCAATGAGCTATTTAAGCACCTTATTTGGAGATTACATTTCCTATAATTTTCTCAAATAGTTCCTTTATTTACACTGTATTAATGAGAAAATTTTTTCAAAAAATTATATCCCTTTTGTAGTTTTAGTAAGAGCTCTAAACTGCATTTGCTACTAAATGTAACTATGTCTATTTATCGACTGTAAATGCCATTGTAGATAATAATACATATAAGAATTATTCCCCCAGAAGGCTTAAAAAAAAAAAAGCAAGCTAAAAAGGTGCTTACTCATTGAAATAAAAATATAAAAGTAAGTAGGGATCAAAATTTGTGGTTCAGGGGTGCCTGGGTGGCTCAGTGGGTTAAAGCCTCTGACTTTAGCTCAGGTCATGATCCCAGGGTCCTGGGATGGAGCCCCGAGTCAGGCTCTCTGCTCAGTGGGGATCCTGCTTCCTCCTCTCTCTCTGCCTGCCTCTCTGCCTACTTGTGATCTCTGTCTGTCACATAAATAAATAAAATCTTAAAAAATAAAATTTGTGGTTCAGTTTCTCCTGGAATGTTTATTTTTGCTAAAACCACCACCACCAGTACAACACAGTAAGCACTATTAAAACAAAACAAAACAAAACAAAACAACAGAAAAAACACATTATGCCACACAATCTTCTTTCAATACTGAATTATGCCAGAAAAACACAGACTAAATTCTAATAATTCAAACCAGCCTCAGTAAGTCACATACCATACTAGTTTATCTTCACTCCTCCTTGGTAACTTCCCTGAAAACCACTCCCCGTTCCTAGTACCCTGGGTGAAACCACCACATTCTTTGAAGGGTGCCACCTCGACAGCCTTTACATGGGCCAATTTCAAGTCCATCCTTCAGAGCAGCCGGAGGAATCTTGTAAACACAGCATCAGATCCCACCTGTCCTCTGTACAGAACTCTCCCAGGCTCTGGACAGATGGCACTGAGAGTGGGACACCCGTAGGTCACGGCCAGAAGCCCCACAGTGACGACCTCTACTCCTCTCTCTGCTTCAGCCTCCCAGCTTTCCCTCCACTCCCCAGGAAGTGAGGGTCCTTACCCTCTACCCTCCCTTTGCCTGGATCTTCGCTGGACTTCTCCTTCTTCCTCACCCACATCTCTGTGTCACTCCTCAGAGCGTCTTCTGTCCGCCACCCAGTCTCACGGGCGTCCTCATCCTTGGCCCCACCACCATCTACCCCCACGATGCTTACTAGTATCTGACACTGCATGGCTACCGTCTAGCTTTCCCACGAGACTATGCCCGATGCCAAAGGGGATGCGGTCATCTGGTTCGCCCCCGTGTCCCCAGGGTCCAGAAGTGGCTGGGGGGTGAGGGGAGGCTCAAGACATATTGAACAAATGCACAGTGATTTTTCTTTCTTCCCTGCATGCACAGAGAACTGGCCATGTTCACAGGAACCCAGCGTTGTTTCATACTCCTCTCTTGTTGTTGCACATAGACAGACTTAGCACAGTATTTTCTACACAATTCTCATCCAGGGAGTGCCAGGGCCTAGCACTTAAGCAAAATGATGCTTAAATCTTGGTCATTGGGTTCAACTTTCCATCTCTTACTGTTAGAAAAGGAACAAAGTTGTTTGTACCATCAAAACACAGCTCTTATTTCAACATAAACACTGTCTCCCACGTACAATAAAACTTAAAAGAAGACCAAAGAGAAAAGAGGAAAGAAAACATGTCAAGAACCATATCTTCCTAGGACAAACTTAAACATTTGTTTTAAACAATAATTTCAACTAATGTGGCTCCAGGTCGTTTTACACTGGCTCTTTGTGGACTCCAGAACGAAGATAAAATTCAATATTGATTTTTAAAACCTTGTTTACATTATCATTAACTTACTACCACCATTAGCAAATAACCAATAAATTCAAACAAAACACACTGTAATAGGGTTTCTGCTGTTCTCAAAAGTCTGAACAAGAAGTCATGGTTTCATGTACCACAAGAGAAGTCCCAAAGTGTCCACATTTATTCGCTGAATTAACACCAGAGAGAGAGGATAAGGCACTGTGCTGGGCACTGTGATGTGCACATTTTAGGCTCTATGCAAAATGTGCCTGTTATAGTCATTAAAAACTATAGTAATGGTCATATTGTAACAAATATTTGGCTAGGCTAGTGACCAAGCCCATTATGTCTTTTTCAAAGTGCAAAAATTTAAAGCAAAGGCGACCTTGCTTGACAATTATAAAAATTAAAATGCTCCAGCAAGTTCGGCAATTTCTTCTGAGCGTGTAAAGTCTTTCAAAAAACTAAGTTGCGGCAAATAACCACCTCCAAATGACATATCTACCATCTCTGTTCTGCTGTTCAAGTCTCCTGCTGTCAATAAAAACCATTTAACCATGTTCTTATTCCAGGGTCATGATATTTCTTTTTTCCCATTTAATAGTATTAATACTTTGAAAGTTCTTAATTCATATAAAAAGGTTATATTGGAACATGGATTAATCTACCCTTCTATGTGTTTAGGAACATTAGCAAACATGCCAATGGGACAGATCATAGGGACCTCACCTCAGGCATTATCAAAACGCAACAAAACCAATTAAAAGTAATGAAAAAAATAATCGTTACAGGCCCTTTTGCTCTTTTGGCCTAAGGATCAGTCTAACCCTAACCGTTTGCCTGTGTTGGTAATTTGATGTCTTGTAACAGAATCGGTCTGCAGAAGCCAGGTCCATGTATATCACAGAACTGCCACAAATGCCAAGACTGCCCAAGCAATGATGCTCTTTTTTGCTGTCCTTAAAATAACCTGGTTTTGCAGAATATAACCAGCAGAGAAGGGCTTGCAGGACATCACTGGTGAGAGAGCTTACAGGACCCACAGGGCACGCAGGCCTTGCTCGGTGGTAGCAAGCTAAACACATTGTTCACTGAAAGCACATTTTAGGAAATAAGCACCAGCTGTAGGGGCTGAAGCACTGACAAAAATAAGTATACTGAAAACTGTGCTATGTCTTTATCATCCCACAGTCCAAAAGTAAACAATTCTGGAGTCCTTTATGTGTCCTCTGTTCGAACTCTAAGAACACACGCTACTACTGCCACTCTCTAATGCCATATCTTGTTTGAATCTGCTTCTGACACTTGACCAGTTGTCGTCTAAATTATAAGGTTATAATTTATACTGGGGGTTAGCAGGAGGCATAAAATAAAATCCAAAGCAAGTATCCAATGCTTACATGTAGTTACCAACACTTAAGTAACCCGATTCCCACAATGAAAGGGCCACCTTCATCATTTGCAAGTTAACTTTCCAAGCGGAAGAATTTCGAATAGGAAAAAGAATGTACACAAACATGAAACAAATACATCATTTCTTCTTGTCACTCTTCTTCCTGCAGACTTGGGGAAGGACAGTGTTTCCCTTTAGGTTAGCGCCTGTCCTAGCAGGTTTTACCAGGTTGAAAGACATGCGGCGGTGGTAGGCCAATGCCAGCTCTGGCTGCATTTTTAATCTTTCATGCGATTTCATCCCATCCTGAGACTATGTACGAGGTGATCTTCAATGTTCAAGAACCAACTTTAAACGAGGATCCCATTAGGTCTTTTATAAAGAGGTGAAATTTAATAGGATTTGGTTTAGCTCATTTGTCAGTTCTCTATTGACAGCTAGAAAATCCACCCTAGTTTATAAACAAAGTAAACGATACAGACCAGGTCTTCAAGAGTTCAAGTACTTGTGCAAGGACCCCACGCATGTCTAAGCCTACATGTGCATGCTGGCCTAATCGGCTGTTTCTTGCCTGGAGACGGTCCACCAACACTCAAGCCACCAAACGAAGGAGAGAAGCATACTTCGTGGGCAGAGATGTCTGAGTGAAAAGGCTTTGGAAATGTCAGGGGACATAAAGCCATATTTAAAGTGTAAAGAGCGACCTCAATTCAGCACCTGTAAAGCTGAAGGAAAGGAGGAGTTTGATGAAGTAGAGAAGGAGGGTCATGGGTTCCTCACAATCTCAGGAAGGCTTCGGTTTGCAGTTGCACAAAACGACCCACTTATTGTACCTAAAGGCCAAAGAGCACCCTGAGGTTTAGAAGATCCAGCTACTTTACAACTGTGTAGTCAGCAAGCAAGTCTGATCTGCATTTTTTTTTTAAAAGGCGCCCAAAAAGCAACAAAGCAAAGTCAAGGTAAGCGTCACCCGCCCCAAGGCAAGTAACCAAGGTCCAGCTGGACCTCCGGGCCCCGGAAAGCGGGCACAGAGGGTGCTGCAGGCGTCGGGAGGCTGACCCCCCGCCTCCTTCCACCTGGCTCAAGGCCGGGAGGGGCTGGCCCAGGACTGGCACCAAGGAGGGCTTCGCGGGGCGAGGCTGCGTCCCCCCACCTCCACCCCCCACCCCCGGCCCACTTACTGTTGCTGGACTTGAGGTCCCGGTGCAGGATGGACACGACGGCCTCCTCGTGCAGGTAGAGCATGCCGCGGGCGATCTGCACCGCCCAGTTGACCAGCACGTGCGGGGGGATGCGGCGCGCGCGGCGCGGGCCTGGCGCGCGGGGGTCCGGGGCGGCGTTGGCGGCGGCCAGAGCGCGGTTGAGCGCTCCGCCGCGGGCGAACTCGAGCACCAGGCAGAGGTGCGGCTGCTGCAGGCACACGCCGCGCAGCTCGATGATGTTGGGGTGCCGCAGCATGGCGAAGAGCCGCGCCTCCCGCCGCACGCTCTCGGCCGCCGTCGCCGCGTCCTGCTCCGGGTCGCGGCGCGCCGCCTTCACCGCCACCTCCCGGCCCTGCCAGGTGGCGCGGTACACCTGCCCGAAGCCGCCCGCGCCGATGAGCTCCCGGAGCTCGAGCCGCTCGAAGTCGACGTGCGCGGGCGAGCCGGGCCGCGGCGGCGGCGGCGGGGGCGCAGGGAGGACGGCCGGGCGGCACGGCGCCACGTAGTTGGCGGGGAAGATGCCGAGGCGCCGCTGCACCTGGCCGGCCCACCAGCCCTCGTCGCCCGACACGGCGGCGTCCTGCGACAGCACCTCCACCAGCTGCCCGCGCCGCAGGCTCAGCTCGTCCTCGCCGCGCGCCTCGTAGTCGTACAGCGCGGCCCACAGCCCCGCGCCCGCCGAGGCCGAGGCGGAGGCCGAGCCGCCGGAGGAGGCGGACGACGACGACGCGGAGCCGGCGGGGGCGCTCCGGGCCGGGGATACCGGCCTGTCAGCCGCGCCCTCGGCGCCCGGCAAGGCCATGGCGGGGCAGCCGGGAGGGCGACGGCGGCGCGGGCAGACGGACTCAGCCTCCGGGGCGGTTGGGGGCGCGCATGGTCCGGCAAGGAGGGGGAGTCGGGGCTCGGGGACGCGGGGGTTCGCGGGCCCACCACCCGGAGGCCCCGCCACCCGGAGGCCCCGGCCTCAGCCCGCGTTCCGCCTGGTCCGCCTCTGCTGCTGCAGCGGTCCCCGCGGCCGCGGGCGCTGTCGCACCATAGTGGCGCGCTGGGCCTGCGGCGGGCCTGCGGCTGTGGCTGGGCCTCGCCGCCTCCCAGGCCCGCCCCTCCGGCCGCCCCGCCCCGCCCCGCCCGGCCAGGACCCGCCCCGCGCGCCGGCCCGCCCCGCCCCCTCGGGGCCCGCCCAGACCCGCGGGTCCCCGCCCGCCGCCGCTGCTCGCTGGCTGGGTGCACCGCACCCCTTCGGCCAGGGAGGCGGAACAGGCCGCGGCTGCACGAGGTTTTCGAGAAAAATCAAGCCAAGGGAAAGGCTGTGGGGAGCCCACGATCCTCTAAAATGCAGAGCCCCGGCGAAGAGGACTCGGTGCTCTGGAGCGGGACGCGAAGGAGTAGGTGGCCGTCCAGGGAGAGTCCCTGTGCACCCGGGACGGGCTGCAGAACGCGGCGGAGCGCGTCTCCAGACGGGTGTGCGCGTCTGCGGGAGTTCGAACCCCGGCCGGCCGCGCGGAACTGACCGGACGACCCATCGCCGCGCCGTGAGTTGCAGGTGGTACAGGCCCGAGGCTCGTTCTCGTGGCGCGTCACCTAGCGGTTGCCTTTACTGCTCCCTCGAGTGGGGAAGGACCGCCTGTCTCCTGTGAAGCCGCAGGTGCAAGTGTAGGAGGCGTTGGCCACGACTGCGTGCTCGAGTCCTGAGCCGTCCGTATTCGCATAAACCGCGAGAAAAGCGAGAGTCGGTCCGCAGGACTCCGGAGGCCCCCCGGCCCGCCCGCCGGCGGTTCACCGCGGCGCACCTGGCGTTGCGCGTAGGACCAGTTGTGCGAAGGAACATTCCGGAGCAGGACCTCCACCGGTCTCGGTGCGCTCGGTGCGGGAACGGTGGCCTCCTAACACGGATGGGAAGGGAAGCTTAGATGTCTGGGGGCACGGATCGTTTCAAGTCTAGCGATAAGGAGGAGCTTTGGGATTTTCTTGTATGTACGTGTTTTCTTCTCTGTCATTTTTTCCATTATTATTATTTTTTTTTAATCATCTTGGAGGGGTAGAAGCCCACCTCCTCTCCCTGCGTTGCTGAAAGGGCAGCAGTGCCCAGCCCAGACTCACGGAAACTCCCTTCTCCGCCTCCATGATCCCCGTTCTACCCCCATTTACAGGTTCTGCCCTGATCGTGACAAGCCTGTACAGACGTGGAGCTCCGCTCTATATTGATGAAGATGTGGGAAGAACCGCTCCAGGTGTCAGCACTTCTCATTTGACTAATGTTTATTGAGTCCATACCCTGTGTAAGATCCTATGCTAAGGACTGGAGGTTACAAAGCCCCTTCTTTAGAGAGTGGTAAGAGAAAAGAGAAACTTCCACAGCAAAAGAATGAACCAGCTTTCCTGGGATTGAGGTGAAGCATTTCATTTTGCCTGGGGTCACTGGGAAATGCCTTGTGGTGTGTCATTTGAGCTGAGTATGGCTAGGATTAATAAAAAGAGGAAGAAGGGGCACCTGGCTGGCTCAGTGGGTTGAGCCTCTACCTTCGGCTCAGGTCATGGTCTCAGGGTCCTGGAATCGAACCCCGCATCGGGTTCTCTGCTCAGTGGGGAGCCTGCTTCTCCCTCTCTCTCTGCCTGCCTCTCTGCCTACTTGTGATCTCTTTCTGTCAAATAAATAAATAAAATCTTTTAAAAAAAAGAAGAAGAAAAAAAAAAGAGGAAGAAGGTCATCCTAGGCATTGTGAGCAAAAGCAAGATAGAACAAATAAATATCGGGCTCAGGGTACTGCTAGAGCTGAAAGATCACCATGGCAAGCGATGAGACTAGAAAGAAGAAAGCCCAATTATAAAAATTCCAAAGAAATGAGAGTGCCCTGTAGTGAGCCAGAGTCTCCTGAAGTCTCACCACCAGAGAACAGAGAACAGAGTGACTATTTGGGTTTTATGAGGATAGAGCCTATAGTAGCACAACGAGAAACTCACTGCCTTTCCAGTTTACTTACAGTCCCTCAGATGATACTGTGACTGGCTGTGTGACCCTGAACATGTTGCTTTACTTCCCTATGGCTCAGTTTCCTCATCTGTAAAATGGGAATAATAAGAATAGTATAGGGGGGAATAGGGAAGACCGAAGCAGGTAATGGATGGAAAGGGTGCAAGGTGCTTAGCGCATATTAAGTTCTCAATATATATTAGCTCTTATAATTGATACACCTTTTCAGTAAAGAGAGCAGTCCGGTCTGTCTGTGGTCAACCCCTCTGGCAAACATAGTTTCTAGTCATTTTGTTTTTCTAGCACTTACACTCAGGGTTGGCTTCTGTGTATGACTAGCATGATGGGTTTTACGTTGACAGCAATGAAATTAAGATTCTTACGCAAACAAATGAAGTAAAAAAGATGACTCGACTTAAAACAATTAAAATAGTACAGTTGGCACATGGCTATGGCAAATATCAAGGAGGTCATCCTGGAATGAATGAGGTGGGAAATAGCATGGCTGGGGGGGGTGGGGAGCCTTGATGCTTTAGGACCAAGTGGTGACAGGATTAAACTGAAACTGCCTGGAGATGAAATGAGCAAATATGGAAACAATAGGTTTGACTAGGACAGGGTGGGAAGCAAGAGAACCAGGAGGGAGACTCCCGAGACAGTAAAAGGGAGAATTAAGGGGGCCTAGAAGTTATGGCGCTGGTATTGGGAAGGAAACGGGGGCCAGATGTGTTCAGAGAAGCAAAAGGACTTGGTCACCAATTACAGGCCCACGGCCCCTCATCCCAAACTCAAGGGTCCAGGTACATCCCAGAATTTAGAATTGGGGGAATTTTAATAATATAGTACATATTTTAATATAAACTCTTCCAGTTGGGGATGGGACCGCACCCCACGATCAAACACACTGGCATTTCTGCGCCCAGATGTTAAAGTAATCTCACCAAGTGAGGTAAATAAAGACCACAAAGAGCCTCGTGTCATTTCAAAGTAAGTTTTGTTGCCCAGTGAGTTCTGATGCCACCTTAGCAATCAGTTTTCGTTTTCGGAGTCTTTTGGTTTTAGAATTGTGGATAAGGGCCTGTGGGGAAGGGTTCAAGCAGAGCCCACCCGGGTTTCTCACTTAAGCAAGTAGGTGGAAGGTAGTGATGTCAAATGACCTAGAAAATGGTTTTAGGGTTATTTTTGATGTGTTGAATTTGGGACGGCTTGGGGGCACCTAGTCATACAATGGGAATATCAGAAAATCAGGGACTCCAAAAGGAGACCAGGGGCGGAGGGAATTGAATTTGGGGAGTAATTTTCTAAGGCGATGTCTCACGCTCTAGAGAACTATTCTAGGTTGTACGGAAAGCGGGAGGACCTCCTGTGTGCCCTTTACTTGGAAGGCCTATGAGAGCGGAGTGACAGTTCTGTTTACCCTGGCAGACTCCTCGTGCCTCTCCAGTTCCAGATGGATGAGTCTGTGAAGTCTTTTATTTTTTAAAAGATATTATTTATTTATGAGAGAGAGCGAGAGAGCACAAGTTGGGGCTAGGAGGGTCAGAGGGAGAAGCAGACTCCCCACTGAGCAGGGAGCTAGACGCAGGACTTGGTGTCAGGACCCTGAGATCATGACCTGAGTCAACTGGAGATGCCCAACCGGCTGAGCCACCTGGGCACCCTGCGAAGCTTTTTAACTTGGCTAAACCAGAGCCCTCATTTGACTCACACAACTGATACTAACAGGAGGACCAAGTGACTACAGTTCAAGGACTTATTCTCTAGACCCTCCTGGAACCTCCAGCACTGTGATCCCCTGGGACCTTTTCCCCATTTGGGACCTCTCAGCAGCAGACTGTCCTGATGGGATACACCCGGGCTTGATGATCCTAAAATTCATGACTTGTTACTGTAGTGTCTTTTCTTTTAAACACCTCCCCCAATCTTACACTTGGGCAACTAGCACTACCTAGACATATGTGCTATACCCATGCTCACTCTGTCTAGCCCAGTACATTCTTCCAGGAACATCATAACACAGGAAAGTCAGGGTGCTAAGACAGAGCTTTGGTGACAGACACATTTAAATGGAAGATGAAAAAATAATCAAGAGGGAAAAATTAAAAGGAATCAGACAAAGAAGAGAATAGGTTAATGTTAGGGAAAACGGGGAACAGCTATATGGAATGGTGCTCTTGAAAAATTGTATCTGTCAGGGTTGGTTCCAGAAGGAGAACCAGACCTGAAGAATCATCTTCTCTTTGGGAATCTTGCTCCAATTAATTACCACTACCCTTGTGGTCTTAGGTCAACAGTTCCCAAAGTGTGGTCTGGGTGCCTCAAGAGATCCCTGTTTCACGGGGGTTCACAAGGTTAAAATTATTTTCATAATTATACCAAAATATTATTTGCCTTTTTCACTGTGTTGACATTTGCACTGATGGTTAGTGCAGCAAATCAGGGCAGTGACACCGGCTTGCCCAAGCAGTCACTATATTCTTCAATGTCACACACTTGCAGTAAAAGAAAAAAAAATGTCAGGTTTGCTTTGAAATATCCTTGATAAAGCAGTAAAAACTATTAATTAAAGCTTCACTTTTTTTTTTTTTTTAAGAGAGGGAGCACACGAATGCACACGCACACTCTTGGGCGTGGGTGGGGAGGAGAGGCAGAGGGAGAGGGAGAGAAAGAAGCTCAAGCAGACCCCCTTCCCAGCATGGAGCCTGATGGGGGGTTCCATGGTGGGGTGGATCCACAACCCCAAGATCATGACCTGAGCTGAAATCAAGAGTTGGACACTTAACCAACTAAGACACCCAGGTGCCCCAAATCTTCACTCTTGAGTATAGGTC